ACTAGACTATAGACTAGACTATAGACTAGACTATAGACTAGACTATAGACTAGACTATAGACTAGACTATAGACTAGACTATAGACTAGACTATAGACTAGACTATAGACTAGACTATAGACTAGACTATAGACTAGACTATAGACTAGACTATAGACTAGACTATAGACTAGACTATAGACTAGACTATAGACTAGACTATAGACTAGACTATAGACTAGACTATAGACTAGACTATAGACTAGACTATAGACTAGACTATAGACTAGACTATAGACTAGACTATAGACTAGACTATAGACTAGACTATAGACTAGACTATAGACTTGACTATAGACTAGACTATAGACTAGACTATAGACTAGACTATAGACTAGACTATAGACTAGACTATAGACTAGACTATAGACTAGACTATAGACTAGACTATAGACTAGACTATAGACTAGACTATAGACTAGACTAGACTAGACTATAGACTAGACTATAGACTAGACTATAGACTAGACTATAGACTAGATATAGACTAGACTAGACTAGACTAGACTATAGACTAGACTATAGACTAGACTATAGACTAGACTATAGACTAGACTAGACTAGACTATAGACTAGACTATAGACTAGACTATAGACTAGACTATAGACTAGACTATAGACTAGACTATAGACTAGACTATAGACTAGACTATAGACTAGACTATAGACTAGACTATAGACTAGACTATAGACTAGACTATAGACTAGACTATAGACTAGACTATAGACTAGACTATAGACTAGACTATAGACTAGACTATAGACTAGACTATAGACTAGACTATAGACTACACTTTTTATAAAATTCAAAAGAACTTTTGCTTAAAGTTTACGTTACGGTTTTGTCCCTTTATCGTATTTTCAAAATGGTAAAAAGAAAATTAAAACTAATTTTTATATTCGAAAAAAATCTTTTTAATATCATTGCAAAGTTTTTTAAAACTTAAGAAAAAAAGGAAATGTCTTCAGCACACCGAAAAAATCTCTGTGTGATTTTTTTTACTAAAAATAAGGAAAAACGAGAAAATAAAATTCACTAATAAAAGAAAAATAATCTTGGTGTTTTAAAAATTTCGTTAAGATTTCCAGTCACGTGTGTGCAATTGCACAATTGTATGCTATTGTCTGTGACGTTGTTTTTCTTTTAGTTTTTTTTTTTTATTTCTTCACCATCTTTATTTAACCCCTTTTCATAGTTGCTGTTCATTTATTCGTACATGACTTTTTAAAAAGAGAAGGGTACAGTAAAAACACTGACTTTAATGGTGGGTAAATTATAAAACGTGGCATGGTGTTATTTGTTTAAGTTTTTTTTTTTTTTTTTTTATTAGAAACTATTTTGTGATTTTTTTCAAGGGATCTGCTCTTTTTAGCGTTTTTAAAGTTTTTTGCACTTTGTGCATTTGTTAGCCATTTTTTTCTCTCGCAATAAAGGGGTTTTCTTATTGTTCTTTCTGTTGACATTCATCTAAAGTTTCATATGAAATCAAACAAACGGATACGGATACGCTAACGAACTTCAAGTGAACTTTTTGAAAGTTTAAAATCATTGTCTTCGGTAGCATCAGGGAACACAGCGGATGGAGGGTTAAGTTTTGGTATGCAACTAAGTAGAGACGAATTTGTATACAAACATACATTTCTAAAGTTAGGAAATCTTTTGCAACTATTTATTTGCGTTTTATTTTTAAACAAACATTTATATTAAACATTAAAAGAAGTTTGTATAAACATTAGCTTTTTGAAATGTAATCAATGGTATGGAAAATTTCTATTTTTTCTGCGATAAAAATTTGTGTCCTTTTATTTGAAACACTCACACACACAGTTATTGCAATTAAAGGCAAGAAATGAGCTAAATTTAAATTTAGACATTAAAAGGAACAATTATAGAGACTACCTCCAGACTTTAGACGTGAATATACATAAGTAGTGTAAACTATAGACTGGACTTGACTATAGATTGGTCCATAGGCTTGACTAAAACTGGACTATAGTCTTGACTGAAACTGGACTATAGTCTTGATTATAGACTGCACTATAGTATTGGCTATAGACTAGAATTTAGACTTGACCATAGACTGGTCTATAGTTTTGACTATAGACTGGACTATAGTTTTGACTTCAGACTGGACTATAGTTTTGACTTTAGACTGGACTATAGTTTTGACTATTGACTGGACTATAGTCTTGACTATTGACTGAACTATAGTCTTGTCTACAGGCTGGACTATACTCTTGTGTGAAGATCGAACTACAGTCTTGACTATAGACTGGACTATAGTCTTGACTATAAACTGGACTATAGTCTTGACTATAGACTGGACTGTAGTCTTGACTATAGACTAAACTATAGTCTTGACTATAGACTAAACTATAGTCTTGACTATAGACTAAACTATAGTCTTGACTATAGACTAAACTATAGTCTTGACTATAGTCTTGACTATAGTTTTGACGATAGACAGATCAAAGGTCTTAACTATAGACTCGATTATAGTTTTGATTATTGACTGGACTATAGTCTTGACTATAGACTGGACTATAGTCATGACTTTAGACTGGACTACAGTCTTAACTGTAGACTGGACTATAGTCTTGACTATAGACTGGACTATAGCCTTGACTATAGACTGGACTATAGTCTTGACTTTAGACTGCACTATAGTCATGACTATAGACTGGACTACAATCTTAACTCTAGACTGGACTATAATCTTGACTATAGACTGGACTAGCCTTGACTATAGACTGGACTATAGTCTTGACTATAGACTGGACTATAGTCTTGACTATAGACTGGACTATAGTCTTGACTATAGACTGGACTATAGTCTTGACTATAGACTGGACTATAGTCTTGACTATAGATTGGACTATAGTCTTGACTATAGACTGGACTATAGTCTTGACTATAGACTGGACTATAGTCTTGACTATAGACTGGACTATAGTCTTGACTATAGACTGGACTATAGTCTTGACTATAGACTGGACTATAGTCTTGACTATAGACTGGACTATAGTCTTGACTTATAGACTGGACTATAGTCTTGACTATAGACTGGACTATAGTCTTGGACTATAGACTGGACTCTAGTCTTGACTATAGACTGGACTATAGTCTTGACTATAGACTGGACTAATAGTCTTGACTATAGACTGACTGTAGGTCTTGACTATAGACTGGACTATAGTCTTGACTATAGACTGGACAATAGTCTTGACTATAGGCTAGACTATAGTCTTGACTATAGACTGGACTATAGTCTTGACTATAGACTGGAATATAGTCTTGACTATAGACTTGACTAAAGTCATGACTATAACTGGACTATAGTCTTTGACTATAGACTGGACCCTATAGTCTGACTATAGACTTGACTATATTCTTGACTATAGACTTGACTATAGTCTTGACTATAGACTTGACTATAGTCTTGACTATAGACTTTACTATAGTCTTGACTATAGACTTTACTATAGTCTTGACTATAGACTTGACTATAGTCTTGACTATAGACTTGACTATAGTCTTGACTATAGACTTGACTATAGTCTTGACTATAGACTTGACTATAGTCTTGACTATAGACTTGACTATAGTCTTGACTATAGACTGGACTATAGTCTAGACTATAGACTGGACTATAGTCTTGACTATAGACTGGACTATAGTCTTGACTATAGACTGGACTATTGTCTAGACTATAGACTGGACTATAGTCTTGACTATAGACTGGACTATAGTCTTGACTATAGACTGGACTATAGTCTTGACTATAGACTGGACTATAGTCTTGACTATAGACTGGACTATAGTCTTGACTATAGACTGGACTATAGTCTTGACTATAGACTGGACTATAGTCTTGACTATAGACTGGACTATAGTCTTGACTATAGACTGGACTATAGTCTTGACTATAGACTGGACTATAGTCTTGACTATAGATTGGACTATAGTCTTGACTATAGACTGGACTATAGTCTTGACTATAGACCGGACTGTAGTCTTGACTATAGACTGGACTATAGTCTTGGCTATAGACTGGATTATAGTCTTGACTATAGTCTGTAGTTTAGACTGGACTACAGTATTGACTGTAGATTGAACTATATATAGTGTTGACTATAGACTTGACTATAGTCTTAACTATAGACTGGACTAGAGTCTTAACTATAGACTGGACTAGAGTCTGTATAGATTGTATAGATTGAACTATAGTCTTGATTACAGACTTTACCCTAGTCTTGACTATACACTGAACTATAGTCTTGACTACAGACTGGTCTATAGTATTGACGAAAGACTGGTCTATAGTCTTGACTACAGACTGGTCTATAGTCGTGACTATAGATTGGTTGAAACATTTGTGAAAAAAAGTTCTCTTTTATGGAAAATTTTTGAAAAAAAAATTATTTTAATAAAATAATTTTTATAAATATTGAATTTTATTTTTTTTTAATTTTTTTAAAAAAAATCCCTTTCTTATAGAAAAATTTGACAAAAAATTAAGTTTTTATAGAAAATTTTTAAAAAGTTAATTTGTATAAAAAATTTTGGAAAACATTTTTTTCTGATGAACTTTACTTTCATTCGTAATAGTACAAGTATAATGACTCATGTAAATAATTTGCGTTTATCAGTTTTTATTGTAAACAAGCGTGTATCTTCTTTAGACATCTCATGTTCAGAGTAGTCAGTCTATCTTATCGATAAATAGTACGACGAACTGATGTTTTCTTTGAAGTACTTTATTGTTTTTTTTCTTAAGTGGCGATTGTAGACAAAATATATTTAAAATTCTTTAATTCTTCAAGTAGCTAATAAAATAATAATTAAAAGTGGAATATTTATTGCATTACAACTTGATTTAATTTATTTTTCTAAATTGCATAATATAAAAAAATTTCTGTAGAATGACTCAGGCAAATTTGTTAATTAGTTTAAATAGCTACTTGTAAAAACTTTTCCTATAAAAATCAGTGAAATTTTTTAAATTAAACATTGTTTTATAGAACTACAACTAAACAACAACGAAAATTATTAATTAACCATGATGAATAAAAGGTAAAGAAAGAAAATAACTTAAGAATTCAAAACAGAAATTAACCCTTTTTTTCAGTTCATTGACTCTAGCAATTTTGTCTGCCCTATTGGGTTTGAGCGCTGCTCAAATTGTTTTCCAAGGATCTTGTCCCGAAAACGTTAAAGTGGTGTCAGATTTTAATGTTGAAAAATATTTGGGTAAATGGTATGAATATGCCAAATATCCAGCATATTTTGAAATGGAAGGTAAATGTGTAACGGCCCAGTACTCTTTGGGTGATGATGGCAATGTTACTGTTAAAAATACTTTAATCAATGAAAAGTAAGTCATATTGCAATAACTAAAAAAAGTTTACTCCAAAATTTTTCTTCTTTAAAGAACCAATGTCTTGACCGATATCTTGGGTACAGCTTCCTTAGTTGCCAATGGCAAACTGTTGGTTAAATTCCCCGTTTCGCCCGCCATTACCGTTTCCAGTAACTATTGGATTTTGGATACTGATTATGATAACTATACAGTTATTTATTCCTGTGTTCCTGTTACAACTAACACTCATGCTAGTAAGTATTTTTGGGTTTCCAATAATTGTCTTCACCTGTAAGTTTTTTTTTTATTTTTCAGCCATTGCTTGGATTTTAACTCGTCAAGCTTTGCCAGAGCCAACTATTATTGAAAAGGCTGTCAGTGTTTTGAAAGAAAATAATGTTTCTTTGAGGGAAATGACAATTACCAATCAAATTTCATGCAATGAAGAAACAGAAAATTAAACATTTTCAGAATATTTTTTAAACAAATTTTGTGAATGTTGCTAAACTTTTTAAATTCAAATGAATACATTAATATGAACATAATTTTTGTGTTAAAACGGTGTTTTATTCGCCAATGGTTGTTAAAAAGGGAATGTGTCGCACACTAGAAATTTAGAGCGATGAACTGAACTAGAACTGAATTAGAACTGAACTAGAACTGAACTAGAACTGAACTAGAACTGAACTAGAACTGAACTAGAACTGAACTAGAACTGAACTAGAACTGAACTAGAACTGAACTAGAACTGAACTAGAACTGAACTAGAACTGAACTAGAATGAACTAGAACTGAACTAGAACTGAACTAGAACTGAACTAGAAACTGAACTAGAACTGAACTAGAACTGAACTAGAACTGAACTAGAACTGAACTAGAACTGAACTAGAACTGAACTAGAACTGAACTAGAACTGAACTAGAACGAACTAGAACTGAACTAGAACTGAACTAGAACTGAACTAGAACTGAAACTAGAACTGAACTAGAACTGAACTAGAACTGAACTAGAACTGAACTAGAACTGAACTAGAACTGAACTAGAACTGAACTAGAACTGAACTAGAACTGAATTAGAACTGAACTAGAACTGAACTAGAACTGAACTAGAACTGAACTAGAACTGAACTAGAACTGAACTAGAACTGATCTTGAACTGAACTAGAACTGAACTAGAACTGAACTAGAACTGAACTAGAACTGAACTAGAACTGAACTAGAACTGAACTAGAACTGAACTAGAACTGAACTAGAACTGAACTAGAACTGAACTAGAACTGAACTAAAGAACTGAACTAGAACTGAACTAGAACTGAACTAGAACTGAACTAGAACTGAACTAGAACTGAACTAGAACTGAACTAGAACTGAACCAGAACTGAACTAGAACTGAACTAGAACTGAACTAGAACTGAACTAGAACTGAACTAGAATGAACTAGAACTAGAAACTGAACTAGAACTGAACTAGAACTGAACTAGAACTGAACTAGAACTGAACTAGAACTAACTAGAACTGAAACTAGAACTGAACTAAACTGAACTAGAACTGAACTAGAACTGAACTAGAACTGAACTAGAACTGAACTAGAACTGAACTAGAACTGAACTAGAACTGAACTAGAACTGAAATGAACTAGAACTGAACTAGAACTGAACTAGAAACTGAACTAGAACTGAAACTAGACTGAAACTAGAACTGAACTAGAACTGGACTAGAACTGAACTAGACTGAACTAGACTGAAGTAGACTGAACTAGAACCGAACTAGAACCGAACTAGAACTGAACTAGAAACAAACAGAAATAATTACTTTAGTTATGTTATAACTGCATATTTTAACCTTTCTAAAATATTCTCTCTCTATCTCCCTCTATGTTCAAACTTTCGCTAAAGAAATTGTTATCCTTCAACTTAATCCGATTATGACCCACTTTCTTTGCCCATTAAGTTCATTTAATAAGTTGTTACTTTCTTCAGATTTTGTTGGGCATTTTAATGGCCTGTCCTAACAAACCAATTAACATTTTTGGCCAAATGGAATTTTATTAACTTTGGCATACTTTAATAATGAGTCAATGTCAAAATTATCAAAAAGTAAATTGATGAAAAAGTTGAAAGCAAAAAACGAAAAAAAAAACAACTAATCTTTATTGCGTCTGAAATCGCTTTAAATATGAAAATATAACAATAATAATCAGCATAATGATAATAGTATTTTCTTGTAATGACAAATTTTAAACTTCATTTAATGGTTGAACAACAAATAAAAAACAAAACGAAAATGACAGCAGCAACAGCAGGGAAAATAAAACAAAAATTTATTTCAAAACTTTGTCATTAAAATTTGATATCTTCATCTACATCTGTTAAGAAATGCCAACTAAACATTTTTGTTCTGTCTTTAAGTTTTTTTTTATGACATTTAAACGAGTCTGTTGTGTCAAACATAAAAGGACATTAGTGGTTTCGAAAATGCTAGAGATGAAACAGTTGCTGGAAATGTTGCTTATTTTTGAAAGTACTTAGTAGTTGTAATTTGAAGGTAGTTTATTGACTTTAGATTTGTAGTCAAGTGACTTCAGATTGAGTTAAGTGGTATAGATGGACCATTTAAAATATATCACTTTTGGCACCCAGTAATTCTGGAATTAATTGAGAATGTTAAATGTCAAATCCAAAAACTACAGGGATTGCTAAAAAATTAAATTATTTTTTTTTTGTAGCTGTATGGGTGTTTCATACAAAAATCATTTTCTAAAAGAAATTTACAAATTCATTGAAGAAGAGTTACTTAAACTTTATTTAATTTCCATTTTTAATACAAAATGAAAATAAATAAAACAGATGAAAAAGGCAAAATCTTCTTCATGACTTTACTTGTTCGTAAATATGAAAGAAACTTAAGAAAAAAACAGGAATATTCTGGAGTAAAAAGCTGATTTAGATACTTTGTGTAGATGAAGGAATATGAGATTGCCTTGCAGTTCGGGTATAAATGTATCCAATTAGGTTAAATAGACTCCATACCGCACTTCACTTATAAACTGTTTTGGTATCCTGCAACGATCAACTTCCGCTTAGTGAAATGTCTAGTTTAAAGTTCCGGTTGGTTAAATATCCAGTTTTTAAGTTAGTTATTGTGCCATAGCTACTCCCTAGATTACTTAGAGACATTAAGAGGACTAGAAACTTCTTTCAGCACTACTTGAGACTTTTTGTGTGCTGATTGATTTCTACTCTCCTTTGCAAAGAGTGAATGACTCCTTATTAAGCTGCTGGGTTGTGCCTGTGCCTGTGTCTGTGTCTGTGTTTGCGTTTGTATTTGTGTGTTTCTTGTAATTTTAATAGTAAAATATGAAAGGGGATTCTGTTGGAAATATAAAGCAGCTTTTGTAAATTAAAATGTTTAAAGTTATTAAATTGTTTTCATTTAATTGCAGAGACAAGTAGAATTATTTAAAGGGACTTAATGTCAATTTTATTTCATCTATTTCTATAAAAGCAATGCAGCTACAACCCCCTATAAAAAGTAAATGAAAGAACTTAAAATACATATTATACAACTAAAAGAATATTAAAATATTTTAGAATTTTTCATAAAATCCCACACGCATAAATATAACCTAATGAAATGTTGCAAAAATCTTTGGAAAAAATAAAAAAAATAAAAAACTTTTAAATTTTTTAGTAACATCTCTTACCGTGGTCTCATAGCTGGGATACACCTTTGAAAATATATTTTCAAAATAAATTTTATACAAAATTTTCTTAGTTTTCCCAAAATTTCAGACCACTTGTTTCACAGTTCAAATCATCTATATATACTTAGTTTTATCTATACTGCTCCTAAAAGCAGTCAATACTTGCTGTAAGTATCAGTAAAAATATAAAAGCTTAAGTAGTGGTAGTAGTCATGGGAAGTTCGTTCACTAAAAGGTAGTAACATAATAGAAAACAAGCACTAGTTTCTCGATTGTAAAACAGTAACAACAGCAGCAACAACCTCAACTATCTAGACTAAAATTATTGTAGTAGTAGCACACTTATGCGCTTCAATGAAGCACGTAATTATCAAATAATTGGATGCGACACCAGCTGTAAGACTCTAAAAAGAAAAGTGAAGAAATCTTTAAAAAAAAAAAAAGACAAAACCATAAAGTGCGTTACAAATGTTAACATCTTCTTTATTGTAAAACAAAGTTTTTGAAAAGGAATCGAATGGCATATCTGAAAGCGTTTTAGAATGCCGATGCAGCAAAATGAGCATAACAAAATTACGTTGACAGTTGTGTCAATGATGTTAAGACTTTGTTGGTAAGAAGAGCCAAGAAATCTACACTACTGAACCAGATTTCAGTGATTTCTTTTTCTTTGAAAATATTTAAATGCAAACCAGAACAATGTTTTTAGAAAATTAGAAAATAATACAATTTAAATGTAATGTTTTAAATTGTGATTTAAAAAGTGGACAATGATTTGTTTTAATTTATAATTATAAGATATGGGTTCAAGCGGGAGGAGTGAGAGCGCTAGTTCTAGTTTCAGTTGTAGTTCAGTTTCGTAGTTCAGTTCTAGTTCAGTTCTAGTTCAGTTCTAGTTCAGTCTAGTTCAGTTCAGTTCAGTTTTCTAGTTCAGTCTAGTTCAGTTCTAGGTTCAGTTCTAGTTCAGTTTAGTTCAGTTCTAGTTCAGTTCTAGTTCGTTCTCTAGTTTTCAGTTCTAGTTCAGTTCTAGTTCAGTTCTAGTTCAGTTCTAGTTCAGTTCTAGTTCAGTTCTAGTTCAGTTCTAGTTCAGTTCAGTAGTTCTAGTTCAGTTCTAGTTCAGTTCTAGTTCTAGTTCTAGTTCAGTTCTAGTTCAGTTCTAGTTCAGTTCTAGTTCAGTTCTAGTTCAGTTCTAGTTCAATTCTAGTTCAGTTCTAGTTCAGTTCTAGTTCAGTTCTAGTTCAGTTCTAGTTCAGTTCTAGTTCAGTTCTAGTTCAGTTCTAGTTCAGTTCTAGTTCAGTTCTAGTTCAGTTCTAGTTCAGTTCTAGTTCAGTTCTAGTTCAGTTCTAGTTCAGTTCTAGTTCAGTTCTAGTTCAGTTCTAGTTCAGTTCTAGTTCAGTTCTAGTTCAGTTCTAGTTCACTTCTAGTTCAGTTCTAGTTCAGTTCTAATTCAGTTCTAGTTCAGTTCTAGCTCAGTTCAAGTTCAGTTCTAGTTCAGTTCTAGTTCAGTTCTAGTTCAGTTCTAGTTCAGTTCTAGTTCAGTTCTAGTTCAGTTCTAGTTCAGTTCTAGTTCAGTTCTAGTTCAGTTCTAGTTCAGTTCTAGTTCAGTTCTAGTCAGTTCTAGTTCAGTTCTAGTTCAGTTCTAGTTCAGTTTCTAGTTTCAGTTTCTAGTTCAGTTCTAGTTCAGTTCTAGTTCAGTTCTAGTTCAGTTTCTAGTTCAGTTCTAGTTCAGTTCTAGTTTCAGTTCTAGTTCAGTTCTAGTTCAGTTCTAGTTCAGTTCTAGTTCAGTTTCTAGTTCAGTTCTAGTTCAGTTCTAGTTCAGTTCTAGTTCAGTTCTTGTTCAGTT